ACCTAAATGACACACAGTCTTTCTGTTCTGCTCCTGAATTTATTCTAGAGCTTAAAGTATATGGTTAAGTCCTCACTATTCAAGACTCCTCTCATTATCATGCCTTTTAAATTTTTCAAGCCCTTTTCCCACAAACCATCTTTTAATTGCCATCCTGCCTACAGGGGACCAGTCTTCCTTCTCTCTCTTGCAATGTAAAATTCGAAAATTGAATTGCTAGTTGTCTTTTCAAATGAATGTAAAAAGTCATGTTAAATAAAACTTTTATTCAGCTTGGGTTTCCATCGAGACCTCTAGAAGTCAATGGGACTGAATTTTGTCTCCCTCACCAGTCTGTTCCTCCTCTAGGAGATTCACGGGACTCAGTAAATGTCACTGCCAAGTAGCTCTTGACAGAAACCGGGAAGTCATCCTTGCTACCTCTTTCTCTTCCACTGCTCACATTTAATGCTGTCACCAAGTGCTACCGGTTCTACCGGTATAATGTATCAAGTTGATTCACTCCTCTCCATTTTCACTGTCTGCATTCTAGTACGAATTACTCTATTTCTCATCTAGAGAATTAAATAGTCTCCCAACTGAACTACCCAATTCTCTTTCACACTTCCTCCATTCCATTTTCCTCATTGTGTGATGGGGGCTATACCCCCCAGAAATGGGGGAGGAGTTTGAGCTGCACAGGTGTGACTAGAGACTGTGCCCCTTTGCTAAACACAAAGGGGCAAAGGCAAACATGGCGGACAATGGCTCTTGTTGGTTGGAAGGCTGGACACTACCACTAGCTTTCGGTGCGGTGCACGGAATTCTGGGAAAGAAATTTTGAAACAGAGCCTGCCAAAGGCAGTTGGTTCCTTCCCCTCCCCAGGTGGTGGTAGGGGGAGGATGCATGTCAACAGTCATTAGCAGTTCTGCCAGTGGTGGCCAGTGCAGGCCTGTGAGCAAAGGCTTGGGGGCACAGACTGCAAAAGATTCCTGAAGCTGGACAGTGACTGGAGACAAGCCAAGCCACCTATGTTTATGATACTTTCAGGTGGGAAAAGAGGTTCCTGGCACAACCTTGAACTGAGCTGGCAGAGGGTGACAAGATGATTTTTCCTTGAGTGTCTTAGAGGGAATGGGCTTTGAGGCAGAAACATACCATTGTTTCCAAAGACCTTGGTGATAATAGTACTGTGAACAGACTTTTGTTCTTATGTTATTTTCAGTTCTTGAACCTATGCAGTCGATGTAATGAGATTATTTTTGATGTCACACTCTGATTTTAATACCCCTTAATTTTATTACTCAGATATTTTAGGCAGAAACTTGCCATTAAATAAAAGATTCCTTTCTTTTCCACTGAACTGTCTTTGGAGATTTGCTTGGTAGGAGGCAAGCAGTAGGACCACGCCTACCATCTGAGTTTGGTAACAATAGCAGTAGAGGGATGTTGTTAAAATACTCTTGGATTACATCACTTCCTTTCTTACAATATACCACTAACTTCTTGTTCCACTTAAGATAAAGACCACCATTGTTAACATGGCACTGAGGCCCTGGTGGATCTGCCCCTACCAACCAACCTCATGCTGTGTTTTGATCTTTAGGTTGCAAGCAATGGAAACTGACTCTAGTAAGTCTCAGGATAAAGATACAGGAGGCTGTCAAATATCAAAGAAAGACTGAGCAACCAAGACCTAGGCAGGTGAAGAAAGGAGGTCCTCCCCAGGAACCGCAGCAGCAGCTGGTGGATTTGCCTCTCAGGAGTGCTGACATGTAAAGTGATTAAGTCTTGTTTCTGTGCTTCTCTTTTTAGTGTTTCCAATTACCAGGAGAAAGAATCTGATTGGCTTGGATTCTGCCAGATTTTTACCCCTGGATCTATCTATTATTTATCCTTGGATCTGTCTCCACAAAGGCATGTCTGCCTTGTTTATTACCCTGTAACCTGTGCCTGGCATAAAGTGTTCATTAAATATTGAACTAGTGACCACCTAATTGAATAAATAAATTGGCTGTGGCCAGAAGACAGGGTCAATCAATATGGACATAGCCAGTGGGGGCTCACTCTGGGATTTGGGGTTCATTTCCATGGTTGTAAGTGAGGTGTCCAGCTCAGGATGATACCTCGCCAGCAGCCTTTGGCCTCCTTTCATTCCTTCAAATTGCCAAGCTCTTCCCAAACTCAGAGTCTTTGCAGATGCTATTCACGGTACCTGATATGTTGTTCTTCTCCACAGTGCTGGTTATAGATTCTCTCAGCTCCCAATTTATCTTTTTCGCTTGTTCGGTGAAAATATCTCTATCTGGGTTCTTTAAATATATCTTTCCTTTGTCAGCCGATACAATATTAAACTTTGTCAATAGAGGGAACTAGAGAGACACTGAGGAGGCAAAAGTGCTGCCTGGCTCCGGTTTTCCTCCGTGGCAGGCTCCAGCAGCAGGGGCTGCTTCTCGGGCACCAGGCTCCTGCCTCACATGCAGTGTCCTTGGCACCCCCTGGGCAGTTTTGCAGCAGAGTGCCTCCTCGCCGTGTGCAGCTTTCTCCAGCACCCTGCAGATGCAGCAAATTTCTGGCGAGTTCCTGAAGGTGGCTTTCCTGCCAGTCCCATTGGTATAGACACAACTAACTACCCATAGCCATGAGCTCTCCCACAAGGTCTGGATATCTGTCCCAGGGGTGTTCCTTATCCCTGCTGTTCCTCTAGTCTTACTGGCCGACCTATTGTGACTCCCATCCCCCCTCATAATTAATAATTCTTTGTATCAAATTGTCCCTGTTCAAATTACCACGTACCTTCTTGTCCTGATTGGATCCCCAGGCTGATACACACCCCCACTCTTCACCTGACTAATTTTACTCATTCTTTAGGTGTTGATATCATTTCCTTATAGAAGCCTTCTCTGGTCTCAAATCAAACCATATCCATTTCCTTTTTATTCACAGGATCTTCCACATTTTAAAAATCATGCATTCATTTGTGTGATATTATGCCTTTGTCTCCCCCCCACTGCCAGATAATAAGTTCTAGGAGGATAGTGATCATATTTATTTACTGCTATAGTCCCAGTGCCCATCATAATGCCTTGGCCAACAATGGGTCATTAAATGAAAAGTGGAGTAAATGTTTAATGAGGTCCTGTTGTATCCAAGTGGCTGGTGGCAATGAAAAAAAATAGAACTCAATTCCTGTTCACAGGGGGTTAGCAAAGTTATATGAGAAAATAAGACCCCCCCACAACACACACAAATACAAAGCAGGAAAGGGAAGTTTCCAAAAGAATGGCATAAATTGTAAATACTAGTAATTCAGAGGCAATCAAGAATTTTATTTTTAAAAAAGATTGTATGTAGTTTTATAAACATCCTGAGAAATTTAATTTCTTCTTAGATAATTGAATTTTATCTATTATACACAAATGAGGAGGAAAATGGGACAAACGAGATCAGCTACTTATTTTAGAAGATATTTTTGGTAGATTCATGAGTTACTAATTTCTGTCAGGAGTTTTTAAAGTGTAGCATATTTTCTGCCAGAAAAATATTTTCTGTTTCTATTTATGTAGGTTTCCCAAAGTAAAAATAACTAACTACAAAATTGGAGACAAGTACTCATATTTCTTCTTTTCTAGGACAGGGGTTCTTTGGCTTTACGCACTTCATTTAGTGTGTGTGAGTGAGGGCTGACTGTTATCTATTGTGTCCACGGTGAAACCATCTTCTAAATGTAAATAGTTACTTTGGCATGGTCTTGGACAAACTCAGAATCATGCATTCTGGGCTTTGGAGTGGTTAACAGTCACATTCTGTCCAGTTTCATCCAATGGAAGTGAAGGGCTGTCCTATATGCTCTCAGATCCTTTCCAACTCTCCGAAGGAGTGTAGACATCAGTTGAGCAATCATTCCCAGTGTCAAGTATGTTTCCTGCTGCAAGTCCTTGGTTGTGAATGAATCAGTGGAATTGTAAACTTTATTAAAATATACAGTGAGGTTTGGCATTTTCAGGTGTCAAAGGCTTATGAGTTTCAACTCTTTAGCCCATGTGGATCATATCATGCAACTTTCCTGGCCTTCAGCTTTCTGATTAGAGAATATTAACAAGATAACACCGAGTTTTTCTTTAATTAGTAAACACTTTCAGTACAAATTATATGCCAGGCACTGAGGACACAGAATTAATACGTGATTCCTGTCCCTTTTGTTTCGGGTGAATTGGAGAAAGAAACTAGTGTTACAAGATCAGTTAGAAAGACGTTGTGGTCAATCACTTAAATTCACAATACACCATTTCCTTATTTTTGTATACATAAATAAAAAAGACTACCTTCCATAAGAACTAAGATAGAGTGGAGATTATTCAAGATGTACTGTGTCAAATCGCAAAATGAACAAAACTGAGTTAAAGATTTGTTTGACCACAGGTTTAGAAACAGGGAATGTAAAGTGGAAGTTAGACTCGTTGACTCGGGGCTTTGAAATTCACAGTCGAGAGATGAACTTTACATACAGCGAGCACTTTCGGGGAGGGTCTCGAGATGTGGACCAATAAACATTTTTCCAAATGCAAAAATATTGGTACTATTGGACGCAAAACGGTTAAAGTACGTTAAACGAGAGCTAGCCAAGATAGATCAGAAATAAACCCAGCTACTAAAATCAAGATTTAGAAAAGTGACACTTAACCACGTTGCCTGGTAACTCCCACTAGTGTTTGGAGCTCTTCAGCTAATTATTTCTCGGAGACTTGGATGAGCTACAAGGGGACCACCAAGCAAGCTGTCCATTTCTGACCAGGAAACCAAAACCCACAGTCCTATCTCCAGACTTCCCAGTCCAATCCTGGGCGAAGGACCGCGCATCCGTTCACCGACCAATTTCACCCTAGGCCGGCCCTAGTGGAGAGACTTGCTTTCCCATTGGGTGGGCGCGGGATGAACGTCTCTGATTGGCTTAAAGAAGGGGCGGGGCGAGGCGTTTCGGACGGCTCACCGCCCCTAAAACCTCTCTGCTGCTCACGATTGTGGGAGGGCGGGGGTTCCTGGAGCAGAAAAGATCGCCGCACTGCCTCTCCGGGCCTCGGTCCGCACCCCACCGGAGCCGGGGTCCCCTCCCACCAACCACGCGAGCTCCGCCCCCACGCCGCGCGGGAGCCGACGGGTCAGGTGATCAGGGGCCGGCGCGGTCACGTGGCTGGGGCGCGCCCTCCCGTTGTGGCCATGGCGGCCGCAGGCTCCAGTGTGGTGAGGCGAGTGGAGCAGCTCGGAGACCTGGCTCAGGCCCACATACAGCAGCTCAGCGAGGCGGCCGGCGAAGATGGTGAGGGAGCGGAGCGGAGGGCGGCGAGCGGGCGGGCGAGCGTGTGCAGAGCTCGCTCTCTGCGGCCGTGGGAGCTGGGGCTGCGGCCTGCGGTCCGCGTGTCCCGCGCGCCGTCCGTGGTCCACTCCGCCGAGCTCGCGTGCCCTGAAGCCGAGGCGTTGCCGTCGGCGCCGCGTTTTTCCTAATCTAGGGAAAAAATCGTTTGCAGCTCAGACAGGTCCGCGCTGCTTGCCTTTCATTGTCTCTGTAGCGACTGGCGGAAAGGGCGGAATTCGGATAACTGCACACGAAAGTTTACGCGAGTGGTTAAAGCTGAGTGACAGCGCGCGGGCAGTGGTGGTTTGGGGTGCTGGAAGGAGCTAGGCGAGTGTGATAGTAACAGTTTGCGAATTTACGCTGTACATTTCTGTCTTGTTTGGGATTGTAAGCTCAGCTGTGAACAGTTTTCCGCGGAAGAGCTTTAAACATGGATATAGTGTACAAGATTCTTCCATATACCTGGTCCTACTTCTCACAAGGTTTGTCAGGACTAGAAATCTTCTTTTGGAGAAGTCCAAGCAGTTTCCTTAAAAAAAAAAAAAGTCGAGAATTTTCTCGACTTCTGATTTTAAGTCCAGTTCTGTTTCACTACTTCTCAGCTGCCTGTAGATTTTACATGATTTCTCTTTGGCTTTGGAGTCTTTACTAGAATACTCATTATCACACTCACAGGAAAATAGTATTGGAACATTTATTTACCCAACTGATTGAGTGAATAGTTGGTGAATTTATTGAATAGGGTCTGTGATGAAAGTGCTCTAGTTCTAGTGAAGATTATTTGCCGAATTATTTTTTCTTAGGAGCATATTCTTCAAAACCCACAGAAATGCCCAGAAGCTGACCTCTTTTTCGGTTTGTGGTAAGTGAATCCCAGGATTCACAGGAATGGTTGGTTCATGGACAGTAGTGGCTAGCACCTGCGAGTGTATCTAAGTTACTTCTAACTGAAGAAGCTGGGCAGTGATCTCGCCCCACTCCCGCTCCACCTGAACCCGTTTAAACAGATCAAGGAAGATCTTTTATTCACATGTCATTGAACCCAAAAGCCATTCTCATTTTTCTGTGGAAGAGTTATTTAATCCAGTCTAAAATGAAGGCTGTAAATAAGTCACGTGGTAGAGATTCATGTTTGGAGGCTTTATACTTATATTTCTGCAAATTTACTAAAGTTAAAATGATACTGGTGCATATTATGAGTTATTAGTATTACTAGCACGGTTTTCTTATTTTAAGAAGTTTAATAAAGATGTGGTTGCATGTATTTGAGTTGAAGTTGACATTCTTTTCCTGTACAATGAAATTAATATACATTTAAAATTTGTCCTGTAATGTAGCAATGTACAATTATATTTGGTTATAGAATTGATAGTTCTTATTGTCTTATTCAAATTAGATCAGATACAGCCACACCTTCCACTGAGGAATGGCCTGCATTTTGTTTTTATTCAGTTTTGTGAACTTATTTCTCACCGTACAGACTATATTTACTACGTGGAACTGTGCCATGAGAGGGGCTTTTTCCAGAAATGTGTAAGAAGCACTTTTGCCTTGCCTGTCATCATTTTAACTGAATTGTTCTAGTAAAAATATTGCAGTTCATAAAAATTTTCTAAAATTTGAGCTATTACCTCTTCACCCCCAGTAATTATGTCATAAATTCATGTGAGGTACACCTTCAGCGAATTCAGTGCCTGTCTTACATTTAAAATAATCCTGCACATTAAGAAGAAAATGTTAGTGCAGACTACAAAGAAACAGGAGCACTGCCATGTTCCACACAACTCCATGGTAGAATCTTTTTTGTGGTTTTTGTTTTGGTTTTTTTTTACATGATACACCTCTCCTGGGCTCAGGAGAGACAGGAGGGCAGTGCTAAAGAAGAATCAGGCCAGGTGAATAATGTGTCTCACAGTAGTCAGAGTCTGGTCTGGGTACAGGTGAGGCCTCACCTGGGAAAACAAGGTCATCACGTGATTGCCGACAGGCACGGCTTAACCTGGTGTTGCTTTCACTCCTACACTGAACAGCTGCTCTGTCTGGGCCAGTGCTGAGGCCGGATCAGCTGGTCCTGCACCCAGTGCTAGATTTTTTGTCCATTGGCCAGTCAGGAGGAAAGGGGGGTTGAGGTGTGTGTGTATACACACACACACACACACATATACATATACATATACACACATACATATATTGCAGGAAGGAAGTACAGAGGGGCAAACTCAGAGACTTGGATGTTGGGGTGGTAGTCATATATCTAAATTTGTTCAAACGGGATAGTACAGAAAGCTGGAAAGCACCTTGGTATGGATAGTTTGTAGTTAGGGAAGAAAAGTTCATGAGGAAAGGTGAAACCATAGAAGCAGGGGAAATACAATGTTGAAGAAAGGGAAGGAATTAGAAGACAATGTAGGGGAAGGCAGGCATATCAGAAGTCTGGTTCCAGCTCTTCCATGTTGTGAACGGACGAAGTAATTTGTTCCATAAAAAAATAAAATGAGCAGATGCATTATATAATTTTAATTCTGATTGCTATTTTACATACATAAACATGTAAACACACTATGATGAACTTATAAATGCTCTGAGTGTCAACATTTTATGAAATATTTGAGTTAATCAGTTGGGCTCCTTTGGAAAATACATTTATGAAATTTCAAGTTTTCAATGGAAGCCCTTTCTGTAAATTGATTACATGTTTGTATTATTCCAATAAAAGTTTTAGACTTACTACTTAAACATGTTGGGTGCTTCAACATCATAAAAGAAGCAATATGAAACTACAGACTGCATTTGAGAAATGACAGCTGAACCTACAAAGTTTGCAGTCTAGCTTTCCAGAACAAATTTCCATTACATTAGCTTAGTTAGGATTAGGTGTCATGTTATATTTGTTTCACATAAGCTGTTACTCTCATGCTGCTCCTCTAATGCCATAAACATTATTTTATTCAGTCATTTCAGATGCTTAATATTTTAGTTTAAATAACAGGCTGAAATTATGTGACGTGATCACCGTGTTTGTTTGTTTGTTTGTTTTAAGATTCTGTTTATTTAGTTTTGGAGAGGTAAAGGGAGGGAGAGAAACGTCAATGTGTGGTTGCCTCTTGTGCACCCCCTGCTGGGGACCTGGTATACAGCCCAGGCATGTGCCCTGGCTGGGAATCTGATGACCCTTTGATTTACAGGCTGGCACTGAACCCCTGAGCCACATCAGACAAAGTGGGTGTCTTTTTTTTAAAACTTCCTGATTTTTAAAGAGAGAAAGGAAGAGGGGGGAGAGGGAGAGAAAAACATTGATTAATCTATTTGATTTGTTGTTCCACTTATTTCTGTACTCACTGGTTGATTCTTGTATGTCCCCTGACTCGGGATCCAACCTGCAACCTTGGTGTATTGGAACCAGAAACGACTGAGGTGCCTGGCCAGGGCTAATTGCCCTGTTCTTATCTCCTACAGATCACTTTTTAATTCGGGCTTCTGCAGCTCTAGAAAAATTGAAACTCTTATGTGAAGACAAAGACTGTTCAAATCCATCAAACCTCCTCGAACTTTACACACAGGTACTGAGACAGCTGTGGTTTCTGACATGTTATGGGGTTAGATTGCCTAATTAGATGGTTGATTCCGCTAAGTGTAATGAAATCAGTTTATTCTCTACTTTAAGTGAACACTCCTTAAAGTGTTCGATTTGTTCAGAAACTGTATGTATAAAGTATATAGACTTGCAACTTTGTAACAATATGCAAAGAATATTTAGCACATGTGTTGATAAGAAAAATCAGGATTACGTCTTTCAGATAACAGAATCTGTTCCCATTATAGATAAGAAAGCAAAACAGGACTAATCCTATTTTCAAGGTCACAAAGGTTATTCTGAGGAAATGGAGGCTTCTATAAAAGCCCCAATTATTTCTCCCTGAAATTCTGATTTCCTTAGGATGCTCAACGTGACTCCCCCTGCTGTTGTCATGCAAGGTGTATGGTTGTTCTGTTCCCCCCTTTCCGTTTTTCTTTGCTTTCAAAATCAGGCCTCTGTATGGACAAGATACAAGATCTGTTTTGTTGGTTTTCTCAAACACTGCTGAGGCAAGTGGACATTATTGTCTCGTTACAGTAACTGACATTCACATAGCATCTTACAGTTGATAGAGTGCTTCACACACCCTGGCTCGACAGCTCAGGGATGTAAGGATGAGGTGGTTATATAAAGGAACTATTTGGTAGCTACCAGTAGTCATGGGGAAGTGACTCAAACACAGGAAACACAGTCAATAGTATTTTGATAACTATATGTGGTGCCAGTTGGTGACTGGAAATACCAGGGGAATACTATGGAAAGATGATTGTCTAACCACTGAGCTGTGTGCCCGAAACCAATACATAATAAAAATTGAAAAAAAAGTAGAGTAAACTTCAATACGCTTCCAAATGCACTTCACAGCATTTGGATGCCTGGCACTGTGCTTTCTGTTGGGAGGCACAGAAGATGGTTTCTGTGCCATGGTCAACTGCCATGGTCAGATGAGCCAGTAACAGCTACTCACAACCCCCCGGGAGCTGTTGTAATTGGGTAGAACTTGGCCTGGCTTTCTTTTTTTCCAGGAGGCTCCCTGCTTGTCTCATTTCTTTCACATGAGAGAGTTCTGACCATCTTCATTTATTTGCAAGAATAAGGCAAAACCCCTGGAGATGCAGACTTATATTCCCCAGAACCCCCTTGCATCCCATTTACAGTTCTGAATCAACATACCGTTTTTCATAGGATGATGGTCTCGGCCTTCCTGGCTTAAGCCCTCTGCAAAAGAACAAATAGAAAAAAATTAAATTTGAAAAGTAGGCAAAATGTCTAGCTGTAAATATAATATGACATGAACTTTACAGAAAACTTCATAGCTATTTTACTGAAATACTAGTGCTAATCTTCCTTCCCTCACAAAATAAAGCGGAGTTTTATGTAGAGTTCTAAAGTGGACTTCATTTAGCCCTAAGTAGTGTGCGAGGTGATGTTGTAAGTGTTTTACATGTTAATTCATTTTATCCTCAAAGCAAAGAACTTGAAAAGTCATTTAGTCCTTTTCATTTTACCAATGAAGAAACTGAGGTTCAGAAACATAAAATTGACCTGTCCTTTCGTTAGGTGGTTAATGGTAGAACTAATACCAGAGCACAGTTTTTGGTCTTAGTCCAGTAGATTAAAAAGGGGGGTTGGGTAGTTCGAAGGTCCTTGGGTAGAGTGCCTTGCATTTAACTGAGAGTGCTGGGGGTCTTAGCGTTTCAGTTGCATGATGTGCTGCTCTGCTGCCTGTATGGCTGGATGCACATCCCCCAGATGTTGAATCTGCATTTGGGAAAACGAATCCTTTGAAGATTCAGTTTACAAAACTAGAGCCTGTGACCTTAACTTGATACAGCAGCTGTTTAGAAAATGTTCAGAGTATGTATGTATAAATAGCAAAGGATATAATAATTATACTTTCCATAATATTGTATATGATTAACTTAATTAAAACATAGAATTCCACTTTATTTTGTGAGGGAAGGAAGATAGCACTAATTTAATATTTCAGTAAAATAGCTATGACGTTTTCCATAAAGTTCACATCAGATTATATTTACAGCTAGACATTTTGCCTACTTTTCAAATTTAAATTTTTTTCTACTTATTGATTTGAGAGCGAGAAAGAAACATTTGTTTATTATTTCCCTTATATATGTATTCATTGGTTGATTCTCGTGGGCGCCCTGACCTGAGATTGAACCCACAACCTTGATGCATTGGAACAACGCTATAACCAACTGAGCTACCCTGCCAGGGCCTCAGATTTAAATATTGTGCTAGAAAACTTAACTGTCTAATAAAACATATACATATACATATATATGCATATATATATGAAAAGTTAAGCTATTGAGAGTTATTCCCTCAGGTGTAAATCCTTTACAGCTACTTGTTTTCTCTTACACATCAGGCTATTTTGGACATGACATACTTTGAGGAGAACAAGCTAGTAGATGAAGATTTCCCTGAAGACTCTTCGCAGAAAGTAAAAGAGCTGATCACTTTTCTTTCAGAACCAGAAATTTTAGTTAAAGAAAATAACATGAACCCCAAAGTAAGTTTTACACTCATGAATGATGGTGAAGCTGCTAATTCTTACTGTGTGGACCGCTCTTTAGAGTCTGTAATTTTTTTCTTCTTGAATATGTCTTTGTCTCTGTTTTAAATTAAGATTCAAAGCCCTGGCCGATGTGGCCCAGTGGATTGAGCACTGGCCTGCACACTGAAAGGTCATGTGTTCGTTTCCCAGTCAGGGCGTGTGCCTGGCTTGCAGGCCAGTGTTTCCCTCCCTCTCTTTCTTCCTTCCTTACCCTCTCTAAAAAAAAAAAAAAAAAAATCTAAGTAAATACATAAATTAAGGTAAGAGGGATTTATGAGAGTTTAACACTTCACAACGAAAGTTGTTATATTTTACTAGAGATGTTTCAGAATATTTGCATGCTGGGATTATATTTTAATTACAGTGCCTGGTCATTTTCGAAGCACAGATATTTGCTATTTCTGCTCTCTTTACTTTTGCAGATACTGTATCTCCTTGAGGGTCCCTAGTAACTTAATTAGCACACCTGCTGTCCTTTTTACAGTCCTCATCCTTCTGGACGTTTGCTGCTTTTCTTGGATCAGCCTAACCCTCCAGCCCTGCGTGCTTCTCCTCTCCATCTCCGAGAAGTCTTGCTCTTTCCCCAGCATCTCCCCTTCCCCCACTCTGGGAACAGGCACGCACGCCCAAGGATGTCTCCTTACTCCTCTGACAGTCCCTCTTCTGTCTTTGCGTTACAACCTGTTCGTGTACTCTTCCCTGCCGTCTCTATTTGGGTGATTTCAAGATTTTTATCTGTAGCCATGGCTACTCATTCAAGTGCATAATTTCTCATCTTCAACTGCTGCCTCTGTCCCCCTGGATATTTTTAGTGTTGTATGTGGGAATGCTAACTGGAAACACATCATCTCACATTTTAAATGACACAACACAGTAAACGTTTCATTAAAATTGTTTTTGTGTGTATATTTTTATTTTATCCTAGTAATAGTGGAAATAGATCTGGTTTCAAGTAACATGTATTTCTGAAAAGTTATCTTTTTAATCAAGCAATATTTTCTATAAATATAAGTGGAGTATTTTAATTTTCATATAGTAATAGATTTCTGCATCTAAGTGATACATTCCTGTGTAAATATGTGAATGAAGAGCAGGTTTTGTGCAATGAGAGTTTTTAATTCCTCAGTGTTTCGAACTCTAACTTTGGTTCTACAGCCCTCGGGCTGCCCTCTGAGCCGCGCCTGTGTTGTGTTTCAGCACAGCGCTCTGCTCGGGGACGAGCTCCTGGAGTGTCTCTCGTGGCGAAGAGGAGCCCTGCTTTACATGTACTGTCATTCTCTGACCAAAAGGAGAGAGTGGCTCACCAGAAAGACGAGCTTGCTTAAAGAGGTAAGAGAGCGGTTCTCATGTACTTTGGATTATTGACATTTTTATAGGTTTCCAAAAGCTGTCCTTGGTTAGTATTAAGACTATTGGAACCACAGGGTCTGCATTCAGGTCTTTCACTTACTGGCTGTGTAATCGTAAACAAATTGGAATTGTTGTGAAGGTTGAATAAGGTAACATGTGAAAACCTGTATATATTGGAAAGTTCTATAAGCTGGGGGTTTTATTTTTTAAACACTGTGTAAGGTAGATGATCTGTATTAATTTTTAAGCATATTTTTTGGCCTGAAGAAAACAAATGTGGCTGTGAGCCTCTGTCAGCAGATCACTCCTGCTGCTCCTGGAAAATTGTGGCTCTGATTTGGTTTGACTCTTCTGACCAAATCAGTAAATGTAAACATCATCTTAGTATTACGTGCTATCACTAAGGATTCTAACCTGGGTTGTTTGGGTACATGTAGTTTATGTGGGCCTGGAAGTGAGAGGTCACACTTTCACATGTAAAAGTTTGAGCATATTTCCAAATTCTAGTACGTACATAGTAAATTGTTAAACACGTCTTTATTATCTTTATCCTTTTCTTCCTCTGATCCCATTTTTTCGACAAGTATAGTACTGAATCGTGTTCTTGGCTAAGGATTTTTTTCTTTTATACTCTTACAACTGGAGCATTTGGTGGGTTACACTTTATAATATATATTAAAAGTTTTTGGGGTGGTGGATCCTTCAACCACTGAAATGTAATAGTCATAAGACACATCTGTTTATTAGTCCGTTTTCTCTTGAGCAAAGAATGGGGTGGTGGGGGGAATAACATTTGAAGTTTCTATAGCTCTGCGTATAATACTTTCAATTCTTTGGCTTTGACTTTCATTCAGTACCTTGTTGATGGAATCAGTTACTTGCTACAGATGCTAAATTATCGGTGTCCTACCCAATTAAATGAAGAAGTTTCTTTCCAGGACCTAGACACAGCTAAGTTACTGAGTGAAGGTAATGTGATCTCTTTTTGAAGTTTTTGTTTTTAAAGCCTTTTAAAATTTTAAGAAGTTTATTATACTTCACACTGATTTAAGTACATTTCAAGTTACATCATAGACAAAAATAATAAAACAGCTTCTAAAAATTCAAAGATCTTCTCATATAGAAAAATGCTGACCTCTGTTTTGTAATTTTGGGAGTGTTGTATTTCATGGTACGTACTTATTTTGCATCCCCCATAGTCTCCATCAGGTCCCAGGTTCTACCACTTGTAGCAGAAACTAGAAGTAACTTTAAAATAAGATACAACTTTACTGCTCTTGCACGGTAAAGAAGATCAGAGCTGGTTCTGTTGGTCTGTGGTGTCATCAGGTTTCTATCTTTTTCCTCCATCACCTTTAGAACCAGAGCCCCTGAGATAGATTAGAAAGTTAGCACTTTCTGTAGATTACTGTGCGGATGGCGCAGAGGTGTGCAGGACACATCCCTCTGAGGATTCTGCCTCCATTCTCAGTATCCCAGCATGCTCCTGGAGCTCCTTCCATCTCACCTCTAGGTGTGCAGGAATGGCACTCCTTAGGAGCAGCCTTCTCAGAAGCTTCTTACAGCATGTACAACACTTTCATCTACATTTCACTGGCCGGGGTTGGATCACGTGGATTCATGTAATTACAAGGGAACCTGATATAGTCCTTTACCTGATGTGCTGCCATCCCAAATAAATTGTTTGTTTATTAAGAAAGAAAGGAAGAATAAATACTGAGTGGCAACTGTTTCTGCCACAAACATCTTTGCACTTAAAAATGCTGAGAACTGGATGTGGTCAATCATCAGGGTTTTAGACTGCGGTGCAGGAGGGAAGAACTGCCTGTTCTCACTCTTTTTACAAGTGGAGGGACTGAGGTCCTGATGAACCGGCTGCACCTGTTCACAGTCACGTAGCTGGCAGGCGAGGTACATGATCCTGTGTGTACGTTTTCTGTTACCCCTCATCTGAGGTTCTGTTGGAGGAAATCAAAAATGGGAAAAGGAGAAAACTTCTTAGGGAAAATTCTGTTGTTTTATTTTATATTTTAATTCTCCTTTGGTAGCTTCTGTGGAATTTTGTAGTAAAAACATCGCATAGGGGAAAAACATGATATAAGTGTCATCAATACATGGCTAGCGGAATACAGAAGTTTTTACTTTCAGTTAATTCGGACAAATAGCTTGTTCTATAGAAGTTTTATTGTGAATACAAAGTGCTCTTTCAGTAGGCATGATACTTTGACAAACCTGGGGTGTTTTATTTATGGGAAGTATTGCCCATTTATGGGTGTTTTATTTACGAGATAACTAGTGAGCTGACTAGCTGCATTCAAAATGGCTTTTCCAAAATGTCCTTATATAATTGCATGGATTACTTTAGAAGAAAAAGCAGGGGTAGGCACTAAAGCCGATTTAGAACCAAAGAAAGTGGCACAGGTCACGGGTTTCCCTTTTCCCATTTGTAGTCGTAAGGTAAGGTATTCTCATGGCCTGAAACTTTTTCGCCAAAATGCATGTGATACTGATATCTTCCCTTAGGTCATAACTTGCACTCACCCTGGCTCGTGTTGCTTCTATAACAAGGGAATCAAGAGGACAGGGAGGGTCGCTGTCCTCCAGAAACAAAGGAAACTGCGTTATGTCCATAGTGGTATCGTCCCAGTGGTGCGTTCCTTCTCTCTCGCTCTCATCTAAAGCTGTGGGTCCCTGTGTAAGGTCGTCAGAGACCAGCAGTGATGCTTTTCATAGGCTCAATTATTCCTAAGACCCCGCTAGAGACATTTAACTTTCTCATTTTCTTGTTAGCCGGTATAAAACAGGATTGCAGAAAATCCTCAGTGCTCCTTAGGGAGAAAAGTTCTATATGAGTCATCAAAAATATTTTTGTGGGCAGATCTTAATATTAATTTACCTAATTTTAGATAAAACTCAAAGCAGTATATATGTAGTAAGATTTCTTTTTATAGGGTAAGATATTCATATCGTCCTTTGACTATTAGCTATATGTCATTCCATTTTTAGCATTTAAAAATTACCCAGTAATGTATTTAGTAAACTTTATCTCATCTGAGTCTCATTCCTCTGTGTGTTCTTATAAAAATAGCCTTGTCAGAATAACCCCGAGTTAACAGGTTAAGTCAAATAATGTTGAGCTTTGCACACCCTTGGTTTATGCCCTTTGTGTACCACTGAGGACCACCTTCTTCCGGCTGCCCTTTCGCCTGTTGCTTAAACCAGAAGCTGGACTTCAGACCCTCTAAAGCAGCGCCTGTGAACTGGCATTGCCGATTGCCTGGGGAGCTTGTTAGAAATACACATTTCTGTGTGCCACCTGCAGGGTCTGATCCAGTACGTGGAGTGCAGGGAGCTCATTTTAATGAGCCCCTGTATTTATGATGCAGTCGGACCGAGAGACCTCACCGCCCCCAGGGATGCCAGTCTGCCCACCATTTAATGTGAAAGTCGCCTTGCTGCCCTCACTCTTACTTCTCTCTGCATCCCCCACTGTCATATGTGTTCTAGGACATGAGCGGGGCAAAGTGAAGTAGTTTATCAAAAACCATGCTGAGCATTAACCAAAAAAAGAAAAAAGTACAGAAAACTTGTAGCAGCAAAAGGACTATAGCTACAGAGTAGTAGACTCCTTGAGGAAGTAGAGAGGAAGAAACTACCTAATTTTTACATTACTCATCCTTTTTTTTTAAACATATTACTTCTCCTTTTAATGCAAGCTAGTTTAATGCAGTGGTTTGGTATAGTCTATGGTCCAGTAGCATCAGCATCATCCTAGGTTCTAGGGCTTTGTTAAAAGTGCAAATCCACAGACCCAACCCCATACCGGAACCTGTCATTCTGGAGGTGGAGGCCCAGCAGTCAGCAGTCAGCACTTGCTCCTGGTAATTCTAAAGCAGGCTGAAGTTTGAGGAGCATTCTTTATTATACAGCCATTCATTCTTTCCCTGGTAAAAATCTTCCTGTAGGATATCTGTCTTCCTTGTCCAGCAGTCACTCCTCCTCGTTAATATAAAGAATGAGGCTAGGGGGAGGCATTATCTAGGGCCCCTTGGGACTGGAGGGACTCATGAGTTGGAGGCCAGAAATCTCAGGGTGGCTAAGACCTCATGTCCCCTCCAATTCCCGCAAGCACCCCTGCTTTCATCCTGTGCCCAAATACCTCAGCTGGCACCTCTCCTCACTCTACACTCCAAACTCAGCTGGGACAGACTTCTGCGGCTGCTGTTTCTCAAGATCCCGACCCCCTCGTGTTGGAGGAACTCTTGGAGGACACAAAACTTGATCATTCAGGACCAGGCTGCTGGCGGGGCTCAGGACAGGGCTGGAGACCACCAGAGCCCTTGCTGGTGTGCTCAGGGCGATGTGCCCACAGTGGGTGAGTGTGTGCAGTTGCTGCCCTCTGGTGCCTGGCTAGGGCACACCGCACTGCCTCCCGACCTTCCACCTGGAGGAGACTACAAAACAGCAAGGACTCCGTATGGATGGTGCACATTGTGCTGGGCCAGCAGCTGCCTAAGCGCCTGCGTGCCACCTACCATGGGGGCTTTTACAAGGAGTGCGTGCAGTGTTCAAGTACCAGGGCAGGCAGCCACATCATCCTGTCATCGGGCATGAGTGACCTATTGCAGTTTGTGGCCAAGTTAGGGTGCCCGCGTTGGAGTGATCTTCATCTTGAATGCCAACACCTTCGGTGTGGAGGGGGCGCTCTACCCTGCCAGCTACCTGTGCCTCCTTAGCAACTGCTGTGTCCTTAGCAACCTGATGTATGGGGGCTGCTGAAGCTGCAGCCCTTCCACACACAGCTGTGCGTCTGGAAAGCACAAGGTGCTCAGCGAATACCTGTGTGAGCAGGCCCAAGACGTGTGCGCTTAGAGCATCTTTCTTACATGGGCAGTGGCACCATCGTGACTTCAGCCCGTGGGTCTGCTGACCAGCAGCTGTCCCATGCACCCACTTCTGCAGGAAGCACAGAAGGCTGAGTCCAGCTCTTTTTGAGCCAGCCTGGCGCCCTGGAAGACTGCAGCCACCGACCTGTGCCTCCACGTATGGCAGGTGCTGAAGACATGCTGAGACCGAATTCAGGGGCACTCGGATGAGGACAGGGGTATCTGGGAAAGACAAACTAGTTTCATAACTTACTGTTACCTTTCACTTTGGTGTGTCCCTCTGGGAACCTCTAGAATTCCAAGTTCGGCAGTTGGGGGGTTATGGAGGGAGTTGAGAGCCATCCCTATCTGTGCAGTGAAACCTGAATGGTACGCATACCTGGGAAGGCAGCAGTGTTTCCAAAAACCTCCTCCTTGGAACAGTGGTGAAGGTGTTCTCTTGCAGGGGAGAGAACTTTGTAGGCTAGGCCACGCAACCTCCCCTTACCTAGTTTTTGGTCAAGGAGACCCAGGTGCTGAAATCCTCCCGCATGAACTCTCAGCAAGGAGAAATTTGAGCTCTCTGCCAATAGCCCCAGGCCTAGATCTTGCTTCACCCACCTTGACCACACACCGCATTCCTTTTCTTGCCTCCCACCTGGCCAGCATCCTCAGAGAAAAAGCCAGAGGGCACAGTCACCTTCTGGTGGTGAAATGAGGCAACATACTGTCCAACTCAGGTCGGGCCAGCCGAGGACCTCTCTGCAGGCCACGGTGCCTCGTCACACCTCCCCAGCCTGGTCTGTGCAGCAAGGCCAGGGCCTTAACCAAAGTCACCCTCTCGGGCTGGGCTCTGTGCACCCCTCTCCCATATGGAACGGAAAGTCATGATGTTTTAAAGCAGAGCCAGGGGAAAGACAAAATAGTAATAGAGAATGAGGCTTCCTTGGAGTTGGGCATAATTAGATCCCAGGCCTCCCTTAGGCAAGCGTTCCCACCCCTCCCAAGTGGCTTCACTTCGTGGGATATACTTCAGCTCCTCCCAGAGCTGTAGCCTGCCTAAAAGTCCAGCCTTCTCTCCATTTCTGCTTCTGTCTTCTCTCCACCAGTCTTTTTAGGAATAGTTAAACAGGGTGTAGGTTCACAGAAATAAAAAGGATATGCATTCAAGGCAGTGCTGAATCTAAGGTACAATTCTGAATGACATCTGAAGCTGCATTCAGCTTTTTCCTGAGTGGTCTGATATTTTTAAGTATGAAGGAATAAGGTAAAAAATAATTATATGTAATATGTATTATACTTATTAAGTGAATAAATTTTATACATAGCATAATTCAGAGTGTAGCCTATCATATTTTCATGAATGCAAGCCTCAGATTCTGCTCTAAAGTGATTATTTCTTTCATTGATATAACAGTTTATGAGTCAGCCAGTTCTTCTAAACCTGTTCCTTCTCTTGCTACTATTTATAAGCTGAATTTGAGGTGAAAGGGCAAATTTTAAAATATAAAAACTTGCTGTAGAGTCAAGAGGACAGACACTGTAATGGTTTTGAAAGTTGAATTTTTCTTCTATTTTCTTTGTGTCTTTAGTACCATCATAATCATTTCTGATTAGCCATATAAGGTGAGCAACTGAGATTATGATTCTCCTTTATTCGAGGCACATTTTTCTAGTTATACAAGTACCTGTACATTAGAATAAATAACATATTTGTATTTTAGTGGCTTTAAGAAGTGAACTAGTTACATAGTTTATATTGTAGTCAATAATTTATACCCAGGTGTTTTTGATTCTAGGTATGTTTGTCTTTCTACCAAATTGATATATGCCGCAAATGTTTAATTATATAATTGCCTTCTTCCATGATAAGAATGCTTTAACTTTTGAATATTCTGCATGTGTTCCTTCTCCTGGGAACATAAAACATCTTAGATATAATTTAAGCACTTTGACAATTCAAAATTAAATGGCCTCAGGGTCCTGTTTGTGCATGATGCTTTCCGCAGGCTCCTGCAGAACTGTAGGAGCTAAAGGGCACTTGACGGGAACTGTGGTCTTGGCCCTGGAGTACACCCTGAGTTAAAGGCCGTGTTCACGGTGGCCTGCAGGAGACTCTCAGTGCTCTGAGATTGTGTGCAGAATTAGGGGTGTGTGTCCTAGGAGAGGTTCCATTGATTACATTTGATTCTTACCGAGGCCTTAAAGAGAATCCCAAAAAGGGTAAGAACACACTGGTCTAACTGATCTTTTGAAAAACTTCTCTGACAATACTCTTTTTTTGAAGGGTGAGAGAGGAAATGTCCTCTTTATAGATAAAATGAGGATAGATGTATCTGCCCTGGCTGGTGTGGCTCAGTGGATTGAGCAGCAGCCCGTGAACCAAGGGGTTGCCTGTTTGATTCCCAGTCAGGGCACATGCCTGGGTTGGGGTGCTAGGTCCCTGGTGGGGGACATTTAAGAGGCAGTCAGTCACACATTGATGTTTCTCTCCCTCTTGTTCTCCCTCCCTTCCCCTTTTGTCTAAAAATAAATAAGTAAAAATTTAAAAGGTAGAGGTGTCAATTCAATGAGGATTGTGCCCAAGTGATACTTGGCTTTTCTAAGTGTAACTATTAAATGAGAAGGAAAAATGATTGATGACACAAAAGGAATTTATTAGTTTTAATAACCAGAGGTTTTTTTTGAAGTTTTGAATTCTAATCTCCTCACCGAAACGACTTTCCCAGGCATATTCAGCGACATCCACCTGCTGGCCATGATGTACAGTGGAGAGATGTGTTACTGGGGGCTGAAGCACTGTGCGGGTCCGCAGCCCGGAGACCAGGAGGTGGGCACCGGCGTTTCCGGAGCGAGCCACACGACACACAAGGAACCCTTGGACTTCCGAGAAGTGGGAGAAAAAATTTTGAAGAAGTATGTATCTGTGTGCGAAGGACCCCTGAAGGAACAAGGATGGAATACAACAAATGCAAAACAAATTTTAAACTTCTTTCAGCATCGCTCTAACTAGTAAGTTCACCTGGTCTTTTTCAAACAAAACCAGAAAGACCCATGAAATGGAAACGTTCCAGAAAAGAAGATGCGTTGACACTGAACTTAAGAATGTCACACTACATACAGATGTCCAGCGTGCTGACCCTTTTCGAAATGCCACCACCGTGCTTCCTTATATATTCGTAAACCTATGAAGAAACAGTTCTTTCACTTCTAAAATGGCATGTGTGTTATCTTAACTCAGCCTGAACTGCAGATGTCCTGTAACTAATGCTAAGGAGGAATCCAGTTCACCTTTGCAAAGACTTTTTTCTGTTACTTCAGATTTTTTTTATTGTGGTAAAATACAACAAAATTGACCATTTTTACTATCTTTAGATTATTTTTCTATCTCTGTACCATGAAGCCTGCTATGCTTCATAGGGTTGAAATCAAGTAACCTCATTGATTTAGATATATGCTACAAATGTAAAAGTTGGCAAAAGCATGACAAATATTCAGATTCCATTTCCAGAATAAGGTAAATAATGAAAGACTTGCCCTGACTGGTGTGGTTTAGGGGATTAAGTTCTGGCCTGTGGACCAAAGGGTCACTGGTTCGATTCCCAGTCAGAGCACATGTGGGTTGCAGACCAGGTCTCCAGTAGGGGGCACTGGAGAGGCAACCACACACTGATACTTCTATCCCTCTCTTTCTCCCTCACTTCCCCCTCTCTAAAAATAAATAAATAAAATGTTGAAAAAAATAATTAAAGACTTCATTAAAAAAATGGTTGCTTAATTATTTTACCATGTATTACTAACGGCATTTAAATTTTTTATCTGTCCTATTAGGTATTTTATCAAAATTTAAAAAGATTTTTCTATCTTGTTTAAAAGAGTATGCATGGTTTATCAAATGAGTAATGAAGATAAAAACCAAGTTAGGTTAGTCACTGTTAGCTCGTATGTCTTTAAGGCACATCTTTTCATATGTATTAAAATGTTAATGTGTTTGTCTTTACTAGTAGGGGTGAGCAGGGTCCTGAGCTGCTCTACTGCTTGCGGGCTTTCCATCTTGCTCCATGCAGTGGTTCCGTCGCTTTCCCAGACCGGACTCCTGTGGCCACACTTGACTGTCACCATCCTGGGTTTCCTTTTGAAATCTGAAATTTTAGTAACTGATGATAATTCTCCTCTGCCTAGCTCTTTCACCTCTTCATTTTCATTGACGATTTGCTCCTTTACTCATGTTCCCTTCTTCATAGCCTCCTCCTCCTGCCCTTTCTCCCAAACCATCAGCTCCTGTCATTGTCCTCGCTTCCTTATCCAACCTCAAGTTGATGGGAACCCAGTGAAGTGCTCTCTGCAGACCCCCAAATCCGCCTTCCCCTTGTCCTTCAGCCTCCTCATTCTGCAAGCCCTCACCCTTTAATTAATTCTATCATTCACGTTTCCTGGATGCTGAGTTCCACATGAAGTACACGCAGCCCTTCAGAGTGGAGTCACTCTAAGTATCTCACCTTCAACTTCAGAGGAGCCCTCAGTGTAAGCCTTTTGTTTTTACTGGTGGGCCCCTCTCCCTTTTCCACGATGGCAGATCCAAACCACTAACATTCCTCGGGCCCTTTGTCCCTCCGCTAACATGTGGCCATTGGGCCTTAGAGAAAACTGAGATTATTAGGAGGTCAGTTTCTGTTTACTAGCTTTGCCCTTCTCGCTGTCTCCGCCCCCCACCCCCCCCTCTTTAGAAGGAGAGAGCTAGCCTGCTGCTTCTGAAGACCAGTCTCCACCGTGCCTGTCTGCCATCCTCTTCCTTCCCCTGGGGCTTCTCTTCCTCTGCCTTCCCGGAGGTATTGATCTTCCCTAGAGTTTGTCCTTTTCCTTTCTCCCCTGTTTTTTCCTTCTTCCTCCTTTCTTTTTACTACTACTAAAATACTCTTGTGTACAGTGTCATTCATAGCCATGACTGCTTCTACCACCTTTAATGTTAGACTGACTCCCAAACCTGTGCTTGAATCCCAGCTTCCTTCCTGCTCTCTAAACCTGATTTCTAGCTGCCTATTAAATATCTTCGCTTAGACGTCCCATAGTGATTTTAAATTCAGTATGTCCAAACCACTAACCCTCTTTCATGTAAAATCTTCTCTTGTTCATTTTTCTCTTTATTTTTGCAGAATGCCATAACCAGTTTCTGCCTACCTTCCCCCTCTCTGTGATCACCCTGTGCGATCGTGTTCTAGACCAGTGTTCCTCACACAGCAAAACCCAGGTGCCTTTGGATGAGCATAAACCTTCTCATAGGGCCTCTTGGGACAGGTGGAATCTCTCCTTATTTCTGCCCCCATCTCTGCTTATCCTCATATAGCTAAGAAGATTTTTATTTAACTTAGTGGTTCACCAAGTTTTACTGTGAAAATACCTTATGCTTTCTAAATATAAAGATTTAAATCATTTTAAATATAGTTTTTAGACCCAAACACTGCTCTCCCCTCCCACCTCCCACCCCCAGTTTTGGAGCATCTCGATCAAGTACAGTACTTTCAGTTCTTCCCCAGGTGCTATGTGTGTTCCTGGCCTCCTTGCAGACCACATCACTTCCACCTGGAACGCTCTGCCCTGCTGTGTGGCCCAGCGATACCTGCTTATCCTTTAGGATTCCACTCGTTCCAGTGGTGCTGTATCCATACGGCTTTTTTCAGCCCTTTCCAGTGAGACTTAGATGCTCCTTTGCTCTTGCCCTCCCATTGCATTGCATTGCTTTATTGTTTCCCTTATGATGGTGAGCACTGCGTTTTTAAAAACTACCTTTACACGTAATGTTTAATCAGTGGTAAACGGAGAGTCAAGTTTTTGGAATTAATAAGTGACGCGATTGTAAGTGCTGAGCTCTGCACAAAAGGGTGGCAGTACTGCATTCCACACTGCCGTGCCCTCCGCACCGGTGTGTTCACACTGCCATGCCCTCTGCACCCATGCATTCCACACTGCTGTACCCTCTGCACCTGTGTATCCCGCACCACTGTGCCCTCTGCACCAGTGGTTGGCAAGGCAGACAAGGGAAGCACTGCTGAGGAGTGAAGTGCCACAAGAGCTGGACCTGAGGAAATGAGAACTTTCTCTTTAAACGCTTGGGACCTCCGTTTTGCCTTCACAACCCGTGTGAGCCGCTTGGGTGTCACTGCTTGGTAGTTGCGAGGGCACTTTTGGGTGCTTTTTGTATAACTTGCCCACCCCCACACAATTGGAGGGTAATTTGTATGCCATAACAGTGATGATACAATGCTTTTTACTCTAGGGTATTACAAAAAGGTGAACATATTTTGTATATTAAAGCCTGCTAAGTAAATTCTGTTTCCTGTAGAATGAAGTAACTTGTAGCTACCACATAAGAAAGGTAACTAAAATTCACTCATCAATATGTGCCTACTACATGCCAGGTTTTGTCCTAGGCACTGAGATGTGTAGCTTTGTAAAACACCCTTTTTCAGAGTTTGCCTTCTTATGGAGGAAGTGAACACACTTCAAGAATACATAGCATGTCAGGTGGTCAGTGCTGCAGAGAATAAAGCAGGTTAAGGGACTAATGACTGGAGAGGACCGCTGTTTTCGGGGTGGTTGGCAAGACACCTCCAGGCACCAATTTTGTGTCTTCAAATTCTACCCCTCTGGTTAAATGCCTTGAACATTCAGTACATTTATAGTTTCTCTTTCTCATGGAAGTTCTGATACTGCAATAAGAAGTGAGTCACTGCATGTAAGACCTTGTCAATTTTATTACATTTAAAGGGTTCTCCAGTGTGGGCTTTACTAATGGGTGAGTCTAAGGGTCTTGATGCATTTATTATACTAAGGGTTTCTCCTTTTGGGTTCTCTCATAGTTACTAAAACTTAAACTCTGTTACCAGAGTTTTCATAAATCCTTAAATTTGTATGGTTCTTTCCCTAAATGAATTTTCATGTCAGGTGGGCTTTGAGACTTAAAGTCCTTCCCACTTTGCTGCATTTATAGGGTTTCTGGCTACTGCAAATTGTTTCATGCTGAATGCTGGCCTGCGAACCTAAGGGTTGCTGGTTCAATTCCCAGTCAAGGCACCTGCCTGAGTTGTAGGCCAGGGCCCCAGCTGGGGGTGTGGGAGAGGCCAGAGATCCATATTTCTCTTGCACGTCATTGATGTTCCTCCCTTCTTTCTCCCTTCTCCTCTCTAAAAATAAATAAAATCTTTAAAATAAAAAGACTGAAGACTTCTCTTTATTCCTTTGTATGCTGAGTCATGGCTAAAATCCCACAATAAAATTACATTCCTACCTTTACAATCCCACTGTGAATTCTCTGGTGTTCATTACAGTGGGAGATGTGTCTGATGCATTCTCAGATTCATTTTAATGGCATTTTTAATAACCCACAGCTGGTTGACATACTAGTTTTAAGTTGCTTAAAAATTTTCTCTTCCCCTTTGAGCATTCCATTTTGTGGCTCACAGAAGCCTCCCCATCTGCCATAGAATCCAGGATTCTGTAGTCTCTGATATCACTGTTTTGTATTGTTTTGAAGACCTAATTGGCTTTATTAATGGATCCATGAATGGGGCTACCACCTAGCAACTAGAAGGGTGCTCCCTTGTATTTTTTAACACAATATGAGATCATATTATAAAAGTATTACGTTAGAATACACTTAATGTATCTACAATTAAAGTATGTGTTATATACTCATGCTGTATTCTTTGCTGTTTGTTTTCCTACTTCTATGAAAATTTCCAAGTAAAATGTTGTGGAGCATATAAAATCTTTTAAATAAAATGGTGTTCCCACATTTGTATCTTGTTTGTTTTATGTCTGGGTGTTGTGTGAGAAGGAAAACTTTCATCATCTCAGTTTACTGTTGAGGTCTGAATGCTGTTTCTTCTGGCCCTCAATTTTCAGACTGGAATATGGGCTCTGGAGCTGGAGTGCTGAGGTTAAATCCCAGCCCCATCCCTTCCTAGCTGTGTGACTCTATGTAAATTACTTAACCTTTCTGTGCCTTGATATCTTATTTAACACAGGAATAACAATGGTATCTACCTCACAGGTTATTGAAGATTAAATGATCAATGTTACCACATGGCAAGAGCTCAGAAGAGTTACTACTATTACCGTTTCCCTTCCTGTCTGTTCTGTGTATGGGCACTCCTTGTTCATTATACTGAAAACTAGAATACTCATCAGCCAGAATGACCGAGTGACAAGCTTCTGGCCAGGGAGCAGTCACTCGCCCTGTCCTCAAGTGGTGCCCTGTCCTCAAGTGGTGCGGGCCATTCTAAATGGGAAAGCAGGTTTCAGAAGAGAGAGCGTGGGCTAGACAAGCACCTCAAATGCTTGTTTTATGGGTGTCGCCAGAAGAAAACCTACAGTTTTCAGAAAATTTCAGCCCCAAGTATACACACACATACATAATTAATGCATAAATATAAATATACAGTGTATAAACTTACCAGCTTCTGCATTTACCAATCAGCCTGATTTTGTTTCTGGTACCTTGGTTTCACACTTAACTCACAAGTCAGAGGTATTTAATGAAATGTTAGTTATCTGAATATTACATACACCCTATTAAAAAATAGATTACTCTAAACCATGGCAAATCCATATGAGTAGTACATAGCTGTAAAAAGCAGAGGAAAATTTGCAATACCATGGGTTGGTCTTATTAAGTGAAAAGGTGAAGTCGGTATGTGGTAGTGTTAAAGAACAAAGTGGAAATGGGGGGAACGTCCTGGGTCAAGTAACAACGTTATAAAGGGGCAAGAGATGTTATGGCCACGGGGGAAGACGCCGTGGCTGTGGCCGAGGCCTCAAGAGCACGGCAGCGAGACCCGCCGGGAGATTTCAGCGCTGCTCCGAAACAGTCCAACCCCCACTACCCTCTCGCCTTCCCTCGCTCCGCTGGGAGGCGGAGGCGGAGGCGGGGGCGGGACGGGCCGAGGGGCGGGGCGTCTCGGGAGGCGGGGCATTGGCGTGTTTCTGCGCACGTCACTTGGGCGCCGGCGGACATGGCCGGAAGCGAGACACGCAGAGGAGGCGGCTCTCCTCAGCCGCACTACAGCGACTGGGGCCGCTGGGAGGCGGCCATCCTCAGCGGCTGGAGGAGTTTCTGGCAGTCGGTGGGCAAGGAGCGCGCGGCGCGGAGCGCCTCCCGAGAGGAGGCGGAGGGGGAGCCCAGCCCCCTGACGCGGCTGCCGGTGAGCGTCGCCGCGGGCCGCGGACACCCCAAGGGTCGCCCGGGAGCCTCGGCACCGCCCCGCGCCCCGGGGGCGTCCTCCGATTTTCTGCCCCAGACAGGCCCTGGGACGAGGGCACCCTGAACGCCAGGCCGAGGGGAGAGGGAGACCACTGCAGACCGTCTGGTCCGCTTGGCACAGCGCCCGGCATCTGCCTGGGTTCTCGGCACCCGCACCGCGGGCGCACTGTCCGGAACGCCGGGCGTCCCCCAAACCCACTCTCCTCCCCGAGGGGATGCGGGACCGTAGCCGGCACTTCCTGGTGAAGGTGTCAGGACCGTGGGACAGTGGAGAGCGGAGACGTGGTTAGAATGATTGAGATTCTGCTCTCACTCGGACTGTTGACACCTCGCTCCGACGTCTGTCGGACCTGCAGGCTCGGAGCGCCTCCCCGGCTCTCCCTCCCGCTTCGAAATAATTCCGATTTTGTAGAGGGACTCGGGTGACAGGTTTACTTTTTGATTACTTCTAAGGATAAAATAAGAAGTTTACTCGGTAAGAGTTCATTTTGAAGAACAAATTGTTTCCTTATGCAATTCACGCAAACAATATGGCAAAATAGCCATGAAAAGAAATGGAAGGAACTTGTTATTTTGCTTGAAAGATAATACACCAGTGGGTGGCTGTTTCAGGAATGTTCCATGCCCAAAATTAAGTGTTCAGCTATGATTCTTTCCCGAAGGCAGGAAAGCAACCTCGGAATGATGGATTTAATTGAAAGTACGGACTGATAGGTTGATCTTTGGTTATCTAGTATCACCGTTGGTTGTCCATGTTGTAATTTTTCGTGTTAGATTTAATTAAGACACTTCCGTTGACCTTTGGTTTCCTGGCATAATACTTTTTTTAATAATTTATTATCAGAAGACAATTTTCCAAAATCAGTTACCCACTCCTTTTACCTGCTTGCTGCCTCCCTGTTTCAGGTTGACGTACAGCTCTATGTCTTGTCCTTTCTTTCGCCTCACGATCTGTGTCAGTTGGGAAGTACGAGTCACTACTGGAATGAAACCGTGCGGGACCCGCTTCTGTGGCGGTATTTTCTGTTGCGCGATCTTCCTTCCTGGTCTTCTGTTGACTGGAAGTCTCTTCCAGATCTAGAAATCCTAAAAAAACCTGTCGCTGAAGTCAGCGGCGGTGCATTTTTTGACTACATGGCAGTGTAAGTATGTAGTTTTATGAGTTAAAGAGAAGATACAGAGTTTGACTATATACACTCAATAGTCCTTGCTGAATTTTGGGTCAAAGTGTCCTTTTGTGAAAATGGGGGATTAAGTGAAATGACTGCCTTCGTTTTGTTATTTCCCTGTGATGCCGGACCAGAGCATTTGAATAAATATACACAGATCATAAGGCTAAAAGTAAAACTCTTATTGAAATTTTTATTGTCTTTGGAATAGTTGTCATTTTTGTAAAATAGTAAATACTTTCCATAGTCAGAAAAGGAGTGTCCGGAGAGCAGGGAGCGGTTCTTTGGCAGGGAGAAAACCCTTCTCGCGGTTCTGGGAAATGAGATTTTCTTACTACCCAAAAGCATTGGTATCGCCAAATATAATGTAGGTGAGAGAATTATTGTTAGTGAGCAACTGGATCTATGAGGGCTGCTTTATGAATGTTTGCTTATTTAATCCTCGCCCAATACAAAAGTGTTAACCCCATGTTGTGGAGCTGGAATTGAGGTTCAGCGTGGTTTGGATTGGCCTGAGGTCATACAGCTCCTGAGGGACTGTTTGGAGGGATTGGAGCCCCATCATCCTGCTGTAAAAGTAGTAACATCATTGGATCTGGATATAACCTGCATTATTGAGAGCCCCAACTTTAAGGCATTGTAAACAAAAATAGAAGAATATTCGGGCCTGGGCAGGTGGCTCGGTTGGAACATTGTTCCATACACCAAAAGGGTACAGGTTCAATTCCTGGTCAGGGCACATACCTACCTACATTGTGGGTTCAGTCCTACATTGTTGGCGTGTGTACAGGAGGCAACCAGTTGATGTTTCTCTCCCTCCCTCCCTCTTTCCCCCTCTGTCTCTTTCTAAAATCAATAAATGTGTCCTTGGGCGAGGATACACACACACACACACTCGTGCTTTAGTCACGAATTGTTTTTGCTGTGATAGATTTACTAGCTACATACAGCACTGTCCCCCCATATTTTATTTAAATTCTTAAGAATCTTATTCTAATGCAGATGCCATTACCTCACCTCGTGAGACTGCTTGATTAAGACGCGTCAGGGTCTTGACCAGATAGCTCAGTTGATTGGAGGGTCATCCTGTACACCAAAAGGTTGCAGGTTCAATCCTGGTCAGGGTGCTTACGGGAGCAACCAGTTGATGGTTCTCACATCTGTGTTTCTCTCTTTTTCCCTTTCTTTCTAAAATTAATAAACACATCCTTGGGTGAGGATTAAAAAAATTATTAAAATGCACATGATATGTGATTGCATATCATTTCAACCAGTGCTACTGTGCTCTCATTAGCTGGGGGCTATCTTTACATCGTTCTGTGATTAACCACAGCATCAAGTGTGTCTGGTGCTGTGAAACCAGATTTTCCCCAGGGGTAGTGATACTCATGGTAACTACCTTTTGTGGCCAAATAAAATTATTTCTGATCCTTACAACCCTGTTGTGATGACAGAAATGTATCCAGACATTGCCCCGTGTGCTCCCTGGAACGTGGAGTTGAGGAGCAGAATGTCCCCGGCTGCGAATCACTGCTCTATTTTAACCATTGTAGTGATTTTAACCATTGTAGTGATTTTAACCATTGAAACAAATGTTAGACCAGGTGTTCTGAGAGAGAATCTAAGTGAAAGGTCAGAGAGTAAGTAACCAGTCCTGGGGAGGACTTTTTCGCTTTCTGGACCACTAGTACTCCTGGTCCCTTGTGCGTTCTCCCATCGTGGCGCTTGGCACACCTACTATAACCGTGTCTCTCTCCCACTGCCCTCCATGGGACATGGGACTGTATAGTCATCGTATCCCTTGTATCTAGCAATTCGCAATATATTACACATTGTTGAATGAATTAACTTAAGTTTTTCTGTGCTAGTTTTCTAATTGTGACAATTTTATACAGGTATAAAATGTGCTGTCCATACACAAGACGATCCTTGAAATCTAGCCGCCCTATGTATGGAGCAGTTACCTCATTTTTACACTCACTGATCATTCAGAATGAACCACGATTTGCTATGTTTGGACCAGGCTTGGAGGAACTGAATACATCTTTGGTGTTGAGCCTGATGTCTTCTGAGGAACTTTGCCCAACAGCTGGTTTGCCTCAGAGGCAAATTGATGGTAATTGTCATGTTAATCTATAATACGTAATAATTTAACATAGGATTGACACAGTAAATAGAAAAAATTATTTTTTAATTATTTGATGTAATGAAATGTAGTAATTTGTTAATGGGGGCCCCCAGGTGCCAATGGATTGAAAGAATTAATGTACTTTTTGTGAGCTATTAGCTTCCTCTTATATCCTCAAGTTTGTGTAATACAGAATATAAGCTTATGTAAAAGTAAATTATTTTGCCCAGTTTTTGAATTTGTGCAGTATTTACCATATTTTAAAAGAATGTCGGTCCTGGCTGGGTAGGTCATTCGGTTGGAGCATTGTCCCCGTACGCCGGGGTTGTGGGTTTGATTCTTTGACACGAATCAACCAACAAAGGCATAAATGAATGGAACAACTAATCAGCACTTCTCTCCCCTCCCGCTCTCTTTCTCCCTTCTCTCTATAATCAATTATAAAAAAAGAATATTAACAGCAAAAATTTTCTAGCATCTACTATGTGTACAGTGCTTTCGCATACTGTGTATTGAAATTTCAAAAAAACTTCATTATCACCTTCCACTACTTTCTATGAAAAAAAATATCCAACAACAACCATGAAGTTAGTTGGTAAGCAAAGTATATAATAAATATAAATGAGAGTATAATCTAGCACCTATAAGATGCTAGAGATGCAGAGATTTAAACCAAACATCAAAAATCTTTCTACTGAAGATACCTCATCTAGCTGACGAGGGGAGAGACAAGTGTACAGGTGATTTGAACATGCTGTCGGTAGTTCCTGGGAAGAAAGTTAAGGGTCAAACAGGATGTCTCATGTGAGTCATCAAGATGAGTAAGAGTAGGCAATCAAATAAAGACAGGGTGAAAGTATTGTAAGCAGTGAGAACTACGTTTCTAAAGGCACAAAGTTCGGCTGTGCATGGCACATTTGCAGTAGCTTTGTATATGCACGCTGGGGCCAGGTGCATACACAAAGACACTGAGAAGACACTTGTATGCCATGCGTAAACATTTGGAAGTCGTTGGAGGATTTCAAGCAGAGGAGTAAGATGGTCAAGATTGCATGTAGAGAGATCACTTTGGCTTCTAAGTGGAAACTTGATTAGAAGGCACTATAAAGAAACAGGAACCACAATAATACTGTGATAAAAAAAGGATGTAGAATTGACTGAATGTGTAGATAAATGCCTGCTGTAAGCAACCCACTTGAACGGAAGCTCCATTAGGGCAGGAATCTTGTCAGCTTTATTCTTAGCTGGATCCAAAGTGCCAGGCACATAGAAGGCGCTCAGTATATATTTGATGCATGAATAAAAAGATGGCTTTAGGGATTACTTTATGCATCCAGATCTCAGGAGCAAGTTCTGGGCTAGAAATCAAGATTTGGGAGTCATGGAGTCCACGTGGACTCTGAAGTCTCTGAGGATGGAGAGGAAGATTGTGAACCAGGTGCTGAAATCTTCAGTGAATGTTTGGAGGAAGGGATTATCAAAAGGAAGTTTATAAATGACAGGGTCAAGGAAGGAGAGATGGTACTAGAGCTGAAAGCTGTGTGTTTCTCAAAGAGATGGAGTTTTTCAAGAGGTTTGGTGAGTAATGGTTAAGACGTGGCACTGGGCAGTAAAGAGAATACTGACTGACCCCACCTCTTTACCCTGAGATGTGAGAATAAGCAACCGTGTTACCTGAAAGTCCACTGCAAGAGAAGCAGCACCTAGGGGAAGGATGGTTTCAGGTAAAGCCATAGGGTGGAAGGAATGCTTCAAAGAGAATTTGGGGATATGGGTAAATTTGCTCATTATGAAATGGCAGTTTGATTCTCCAGAGAGTTGCTGGAGTGATTGAGAAGCAAATCTGATTATGCCTCAAACCCTCCCCGCAAGATCAGGGAAGAATGGAGGGTACGTCATTGGCAAGGTGGCCCAGAACAGCCTGGAAATTGAGTTGGGCTGAGGGTAATGTGCTAAGTAAGAGAGTAATCTCTGTAACTTAAACTGATGAAAACAGATCATGGTGGACTTTGTCTAAAAGTCAGAAAAAGATTCTAAGTCAAGTATAATTTCAAATGTCAGTGTTGGCCACTTTTTTTTCAATTTTCTAAGTTGCCATTGGTAACTCCTCAAATTTATTGAATGTGTCCATGGAGTGTAAGACAAAGAAGAAACATAACAAATATGAAAATGGATCTCAGTCTTAAGGAAAAGGAGTAGTAGCTATTGTGATGCAGCTCCTACTGATGCGACAGGAAAGTTAGTGAAGACAGTGATGGTGATAGGAAAAGGCATGTCATAAGCCTAGCAGTTCTTTGTTCTCATCTATGTTTTTATTACTATGTGAATGAAAATTGCAAGCAGCATCTTATTTTCAACACAAATATTGCATTTTAATTCAAAGCTATATATAACTTGTCATAGAATTTTTTAAATTCTGGATAATTTTTTCAGTCTGATCTTTTGCTGTCTGTGTCATTGACTTTTTGATCACTGTAATCTCCTTTAGGTATTGGGTCAGGAGTCAATTTTCAGTTGAACAACCAACATAAATTCAATATCCTGATACTATATTCAACTACCAGGTAAGCCTCCCTTCTTGGTAACTTACCTGAGACATTACAACTGGAATATTGTAGGGGATGCCACCTGTTTAGTGTCTATTTATGCTTTATGTTTACATTTTTCTTATATAGAAAGGAAAGAGATAGAGCAAGAGAAGAGCATACGAGTGCAGTTAACAAGATGTTCAGTCTGCAGAATGAAGGGGATGATCAACAAGGAAGCCGATACAGTGTCATTCCACAGATTCAGAAGGTGTGTGAAGTTGTTGATGGGTTCATCTATGTTGCAAATGCTGAAGCTCAGAAAAGTAAGCATTATCTTATTTTCTTTTTAAAAGCACTTGCTTCGCAGAACAAATACAAAATATTTTTTTAGGCTTTACTGGGCTTCTTGAGAATGTTATGTTTAATTTTATCAATATGATTCTATTACCATTAGTTAATAGTGGGTGCTCAAACCTTGACATGCATTAGGATCACCTGGGAGCTTGTTAAAAACAACTGCTGATTCCTTCTCAGGTACGTTGTGATTCATAGATTTGGATTGTGTCTTGGGCATCACAGTACAAGTTTTTAACTTGGTTTTTTAAACAAGCACCTACAGAACTTTGATGCATACTAAAATGGGATACTATAACTATGTGATACTATTTTGTTGTATACTTCTGCACTTCTTGTTATTGCTGTTTTGTCTGCTTTGGGCCCTATTCAAATAATTCCTGCAGATAACTGAAAATGTTTACCTTTGTTTTGATTACCCAAATAGATGTGTGGGGTGAAATGTTTAATTAAGTAGGTTAGTTAAGAACACTCTCTATGTTCTGAACAATTGCCATTCATAGTAATATATAGGCATGAAATCAGAACCTTTTTGGGCTAAAGCCATTGTTGTAATTTCTTCCTCAAATCACTATAAACAAGCTAGGGTATAAATATGTAATATATTGTCCTCACTCAGAACAAGGTAGCAGCCCAGTGGCGAAAGGGTTTAAAGTTTATGGTACGCTAAAGTTAACTATAATTGTAAAGCCAGATCTTGCTTAACTACTGACTAGTTGGACTTGACCTGGTGTATTAATGGCCTGGCAGAAGAAGCATGCCCATTTCCAGGAGTAAGTCCTCCTTACCTCAGTCTGTATTGTTTTACATAAATCTTCTAGCCTTAATTTAAAAATTTATAAAACACACATACAAAAATCAAAATGATATGATCCATTGTCAAGAGATAAAGCCGACAAATGAAAAATACATCTAGATATATCATAGCCAAATTGATGAAAACCAAAGGTAAACAGCATCTCGAAGGCGTCCGGAGCTAAAGGAAAGCTGCACTCCGAGGGTCAAAGGCAAGGACAGAGACTCCTGCGTGCGTGGCTGCCAGCTAGAAGGCGGTACAGAGAGATGTGTACGGTGTTGCAAGGGTGGGCTGGGGACCTTAAATCTAGCAAAGAAATCTTTTAAAAGTGAAGGAAGGCAAAATCAAGACTTTTTCAAACAAACGAAACCTGAGAAAATTCACTATCAGCAGATTTGCACAAGAAGAAATATTAAAGGAATCTCTTTAGGTAGAAGAATATACCTGATGGAAAATAGTATCTACAAAAAGAAATCAAGAGCCCTGCATGAAAACAGTAAAGCTATATGTAATTATTCTTTCTAATTTTAATTTTTTTATAACCATGTAAAGGAAAAATAGTAACAATATATTGTCGATATATGATATTTTAACTAAAATATATGATAACAATACAACACAGCACAGAAAGTAGGAAATGGAAATATACTGGTGTGATATTACTGCATATGTGAAATTGTATACTGTGTAAAGGTAGACTGTTATAAGCTAAAAATATGCATTGTAATTCTTTGAGCAACCTCTAAGAAATGTGTAACAGAGGCATGTATAATTATACATGTATAATTAACTATTAAATAAGCCAGTGGTGAGGTTAAAATGGAGAAGGCCTTGGGGGGAAATATGCTTTTTAGCTCATCAAGTTACTGACTGAATTCAGGTCCGAGTTGCAGAAGTGAGGACTGGTTTCCTTGCTGGCTGTCAGCTGGGGGCTGCTCTCAGCGTCTAGAGTCTGTCTTCCTTCTTTGCTGTGTGACTCTGTCTGTCTTCAGATCCAGCAATGGGGAATCTTTTGTACCAGGAAGAACCTGGTCAGCTCTCTGAGGACAGTATCCCTAATAGGACAGTGTAGCCTAATGATGGTAGTGATACCCCATTATATTTGCAAGTTCCCCCCACACTCAAAGGGGAAGGGATCATACAAGGATCCGAGTCGTTGGGGGTCACTCTAGAATTCTGCCTACCACAAAATGTCAGTGACTTATACGCTCCAGTAACAGGCAGAAATTGTCTGTTTGTATAAAAAAGCTATACCAAACTATATGTTTAAGTTTTTGAAATTAAGGGCTTTTCAAGGAAAGGTAGTGCTAGTTACAGAATTTGTGAGAGGAAAATATCTATATCAAAGTAGTTTTTTTAACTGTAGAGGCATCTGAATGATAAAATGACCCCCCTCCCTGATTTCACCTAAATACCTGTCCTTGCAAGGCTACTCAATATAATCTTATGACATATTAATAAATGAACAAAGCAATAGAAGAGGTTTGTTATGTTTGGATTCTGGTAATTTTTTGGTTTCCTTGTTTGGTTAGTTTATTTTTAAAGATTTTATTTTATTTATTTTTAGACAAAGGGGGAAGGAGGAAGAAAGGGAGGGAGTGAAACATTGATGTGTGGTTGCTTCTCATGCACCCCCAACTGGGGACCTGGCATGCAACCCAGGCATGTGCCCTGACTGGGAATCGAACCGGCAACCCTTTGGTTTGCAGGCTGGTGCTAAGTCCACTGAGCCACACCAGCCAGGACTGTTTTGTTAGTTTTTAATTTAATTTTATTATTTTAGAAATCATTGCAAGTCATGCAAATTAAGAGTTTTGACTACATTCCTTAGGACATGAATGGCAAGATGAATATTCTCGAATTATGGCAATGACAGATCCAGCTTTTGGATCTTCAGGAAGACCGATGCTGGTTTTATCTTGTATTTCTCAAGCAAATGTAAAAAGAATGCCCTGTTTTTATTTGGCGCATGAACTCCGTCTGAATCATCTAAACCACCCATGGATGGTAAGGTCCTCTCTTTTTTGGTGAGAAAAATCTTATTTTATTCTTCATGGTTTTTATTTGATTTTATTCTTTCCTACCCATTCTCTTTAATGAAACAGAGCAGTATTCTGAAGTCACTTATAAAGCTTAACTGATGGGAGATACTTGGTTGATGTCAGTAAGTCTCAGCTGACCATTTGCTCCCTTCTTGCCAATCCTGTCATGGATACAGTGATAAAGTAATTGGGAATTTTTTTTTTTTAGATGCAATTGTCATGTTTTTTTCTGCATTAATGTATTATGCTTTAAGGACCATCAAAAGTGTAGATTCTATCTTACAGTCTCTTGCTTTCCAAATTTTAATGATAAAATCTTCTCATCAAAAGAAGCCTTATATGAAAGCCCCTAAGGAAAATTAACATTGGAAATGCTTTTGCTGAAAAAGATTTTCTTCCTTTTTCTCCTTATATCTCCCAAGGAGCCCTGGAAACTGGACGACAATTTAAAAGCTACAAATAAAGGTGTACCTTCCTGAGACATGGGAATTTTAGCTTGCCATCCATCAGGAGTGGCAGTCTTAATGACACATTTTTGCAACAAGATGTCACAGTTATCAGTTGACTAGCTGAGTTAATTAAAAAAATGTTTTAGTTTTCAAGGTATACCTTTTGGAGGAATTTTTTTCTAATATATACAAACAAGTCATGGAAATGGTAAATTTTCCCATCCCCAAGGATAAGTAATAAGCCTCATGTTGGTAATAGTTATAGGATAGGAGATCATATACATATATATCTATTAATCCTCACTCGAGAACATTTTTCCATTGCTTTTAGAGGGGGGAAGGGGAGAGAGGGGAACATCGACTTGATTGCTTTCTTGTATGGCCCCTACTGGGAATTGAACCCACAATCTGGGTATGTGCCCTGACCAGGGAAAGGAACCCACAACCCTTTGGTCTACAGGGTGATGCTCCAACCAACTGAGCCATATCCGATCATGGTTTTTATCTCAGCTCTCTAGAATATAAAACTTGAGTGACTCATGGGATTTTTTTAGTCTTTTGGGGAGTTTTTTTGGTCTTCTTGAAAAATGCCCCTCATAATCATAACATTTTGGACTCAGTTTCTTACTGATAATGGTCTCTCTCATCTGTTCATAGGTCCAGGACACCGAAGCTGAAACTCTGACGGGTTTTTTAAATGGCATTCAGTGGATTCTTGAAGAAGTCGAATCTAAGCATGCAAGGTGATCCTCCTTTTAGACCTTGAGAACTGAAACCAGTTGACACGAAGGTCATGCTGTCAGTATTTGCTCAGTCAGCTCATTTTGTCCTGCCTTTTTGCAGGACAGCTTTATATTGTAGCTAGTACAATACAGCTATTGTAGCTGTATTGCAGTAGGCTTTACATTGTAGCTGATGTGTTTTTAATATAAATTTTATTTTGTACCTTAACAAATACAAGTAAAAGTTTCAATGCAAGCATTTTTAGCCTAAAAATGAACATTTTAAGTTTTTTTGATAATTTTTATATTTTCTGTCTTTTAAAAAATAATAAATTCTGGAAAAAATAAGTTTGTGCCTAACTCGTTCCTTGTAGTTTCTGTTCTTTTCAGTTTAAAGTTAGCCGTAGTGGGAAATAGCAGATTTGCTAAGCTTTCCGTAGGTTCTTTTTAAGAGTCCTTAATTGGGTTATCAAAAAAGAAGTTTTTATATATATTTAATGGGTATGAATATGCTGCTTAAAGACTGGAATATTCTAGAATTGCATTTAATATTATGGCCATACAACTTCTTTTCTGAAACAGTGGAAATTATATCATACTTAATACTAATTTAGTAAATATAACTTCCTGGAAGTTCTTGGTATTGTCAAATAACTTAGAAAAGTACTAAGGTACTAAAGCCAAATTTTATTTCATGGTCGTAAAGGTTCACGTGATCATATGATGTCCTTCTCACAAATTGCTTGCACTTTGCATAGGAAGCATTCTAGCCCTCCTATGTCATTGGAAATGAGGATTTTAAAGATTATAATGAAAAGAGCCTAGCATTCTTAGTGGTGCTGCACCCAAGATATAGCCTCCTGAGAAGGGAGCTCCTGCAGCTCAGGCATACTCATCCATGACTTAGCTTCAGCAGCAGCCTGTAGCTGGGGGCAGGATGAGAAATGTAGACAGTCCTGCTTCTCTTAGGAAGACTGCGAGAGGGACACCGTGTCCTTGACTGCCGCAGTCAAGGTTGGAGACCCGTCTTACCAAGTTGGAAGAGGGAAGGAGAGTGTGGGTCTCGGTTCAAATCCCACAGACACTTGCTATTCTTACTGAGTTTTAGTACATTTTTTAAAAATTTCCTTCATTTGCTATATGTTTTTAGTACCATTTACAGAGACTGGTTGTTTTTTTTAAATAATTTTCTTTTGTTTTCAAAGGAGCCATTCCATGGAACTCCTCAGGCTGTTATGCCAAAAGTGGATCCCCTTTTTTTTTAGTGTGTTTGAAAAGAACCAGCTTTGGGTTTAATGATTTATTCTGTATTTGATATCATTGGTTTATGTTCTATTCAATATCATTGGTTATATCTCTTTTTTAGACTTTTTAAAAATTATTTTATTCTTTTCTTGTTTATTAAGGCAGATATTTAGATTATTGATCCTTGTTCTTTTGTAAAAACACAGGCATTTAAAGCTATACATTTTTCCCTAGGCCCTCTTTAGCTGCATCCACACATTTTGATGTATTGTATATTTATTATTATTTGGTTAAAATCTTTTATAATCTCTTGTGATTACTTTTTCAACCCATGGATTATGTAGTGCTTTATAATATAATTTTATAATGTTATAATTTTAGTGCTTTTTAATCTTTATTTCCTAGATATTTTATTGTTACTGATATCTAATTCAATTCTCTATTTATCGGAGAACATACTCTAAAATTTTAGTCTTTTAAACTTTATTAAGACTTTCTTATGGACCATTTATACTCTGTTCTAGTGAATGTACGACATACATTTGAAAAGAGTTTATATCCTGTAGTTGTTTGGTTGAATATTTTATATCTTTCCTATCTTTTAGGTCAAGGTAGTTTGTAATTTTTAGATATTAATTCATAATTGATTCAACATAACAGGACTTCTCAGAACCTTTAATATGCTGATATAACATGAATTAAACAGTCATTTACTGTGGGGTACTTCTCATACTTATTTTACTTATTTAATGCTTAATCCCCTTTCCACTATTTAAGGATATATATAATCCTAAGAAATGACTTCATTTAGGTTTTATAGTTTACTTGCGTAGATATTTGTAACTACTATCATGACTTAAATATATACCTTTTCAATGAATGATAAATTCCTCTTTATCATGTCTTACTTTGCATTTGTGTTTTCTCCTTTTTTCTTCTTCACTAGGTTAGTTAGTGCTTTTGACTATATTATTGCATATTATTCATAACTTTTTAAATTTAATATTTTGCTTTTTTATACCTCTTAATGTCTGCTGTTATTTTTCTGTTTTTAATAATTTTTAATTTTTCAATTATAGTTGATGTATAATATTATATTAGTTTTAGGTGATCACCCTGATAAATCTAGTACCCATCTGACACCATACATAGTTATTACAATAATATTGACGGTGCCCTGGCTGGTGTAGCTCAGTAGATTAAATGTGGGCTGGGAACCAAAGGGTCGCTGGTTCAGTTCCCAGTCAGAGCATGTGCCTGGGTTGTGGGCCAGATCCCCAGTCGGGGGTGTGTGAAAGGCAACCACACATTGATATTTCCCTCACTTTCTCCTTCCCTTCCCATCAATCTAAAAATTAATAAATAAATACAAATAATATTGACTGTATTCTCTTTGCTGTACATTACTTCCCCATGAATATTTTGTAACTACCAATTTGTACTTAATCCCTTAATCTTTTTTACCCATCCCCCCAATCTCTCCATCTACCAACCTCCAAAATGTTCTCTGTATCTCTGTTTCCATGATGCCTGTTCATTTATCTTGTGTTTTAGGTTCCATATTGAAGTGAAATCATATGGTATTTCTCTTTCTATCTGACTTATTTCACTTAGCACAGCACCCACTATGTCCACCCATGTTGTTGCAGATGGCATTCATTTATTTATGGCTGTTTCATATTCTGTTGTACATATGTACCACTTCCTTATCTATTAATGGACACTTAGGTTACTTCCCTAGCTTGGCTGTTGTAAATAATGCTGCAATGAACATATGAATGATAGGTATGTATTGCTATTTTATTATTTCTATTTTTGATCTTCTCTTCTTAAAGAAGACCCTTTAACATTTCATGTCATACTGGTTTGGCCATGATGAACTCCTTTAGCTTTTTCTTGTTTGGGAAGCTCTTTATCTGTCCTTCAATTCTAAATGATAGCTTTGCTGGGTAGAGTAATCTTGGTTGTAGATCCTTCTCATCACTGAATATTTTATGCCAATCCTGGCTGGCCTGAAAAGTTTCTTTTTATTTTTTATTTTATTTTTTCTCCTTTAAATAGTTTTACTTTCTTTTTTTTATTAAATATTTTATTGTAGTTCAATTACAGTTGTCCCAATTTTACCCCTTTGGTCTCCTCCACCCACCCCACCCCCTGCTCCCACAGTCAATCCCCGCCCTCTTACCAGTGTACTTGGGTGATATGTACATGTTCCTTGACTAGTCCCATCCCCTTCTTTCCACCTTTATTCTCCTCTTTCCCTCTGGTTGCTGTCAGTGTGTTCCTCGTTTCCATGCGTCTGATGGTATTTTACTCATTGTTTTGTTGTTGTTAATTAGGGTCCGCTTATTTTTCTGTCTTTCACTGCCTGGTTTATTTTACTTAGCATAATACTCTCCAGTTCCAGCCATGCTGTCGTGAAGGGTCGGAATTCCTTCTTTCTGCTGCGTAGTGTTCCATTTTAGTTTTTGCCCTTTGAGTATGAGGTTGGCTGTAGGTTTCTTGTATATGGTCTTTACTATGTTAAGGTATAAACCTTGTATTCCCACTTTGCTGAGTGTTTTATCATAAATGCTTTATCAAATGCTTTTTCAGCATCTGTTGATATTATCACATGATTTTTATCTTTCATTTTGTTTATGTGGTGTATTATGTCTATCCATTTGCAAATACTGTACCATCCTTGCATCCCCAGGATGAATCCCACCTGATCATGATGTATGATCTATTTAATGTATTGCTAGATCCACTTTGCCAATATTTTGTTGAGGATTTTAGGGCCTGTAGTTTTCTTTCTTTGTTGTGTCTTTACCTTGCTTTGGAATTAGGATAATACTGGCCTTGTAAAAAGAGTGTGGAAATCTTCCCTTTTTTTGAATTTTTTGGAATAGTTTAAGAAGGATAGGAGTTAGCTCTTTAAATGTTTGGTAAAATTTGCTTGTGAAGCCATCTGGTCCAGCACTTCGTGTGCTGTGATTTGTTTGATTACTGCTTCAGGCTCACTAGTTGTTATTGGCCTATTCAGGCTTTCTTTTTCTTCTTGACTCATTTTTGTAAGATTGTACGTTTCTAGAAATTTGTCCTATTCATCCGGGTTGTCCAGTTTCTAGGCATAGAGTTGGTTGCAGTAATTTCTTAAAACCCTTTGTGTTTCCGTGGTATTAGTTGTAGCTTCTCTTTTATTTCTGATTTTATTTATTTGGGTCCTCTCTGTTTTTTCTTGATGAGTCTGGTTAAAGGCTTGTCGATATATTTTATGTTTTCAAAGAACCAGCTTCTGCATTTACTGATCCTTTGAATTTTTTTTTGTCTCTATGTCATTTAATTCTGCTGGGATTTTGATTATTTCCTTCCTTTTGCTCACTCTGGGCTTTGTTTGTTGTTTTTCCTCCAGTTCTTGTAGATGGAGGATTAGGTCGTTTATTTGAGATTTTTCTGTCTTCTTTAGGCAGGCCCGTATTGCTCTGAACGTCCCTCTCAGGACCGCCTTTGCTGTATCTCATATGTTTGGGGCTGTTTTGTGTTCATTTTCATTTCTTTCCAGAAAATTTTTGGTTTCTTGCTTGATCTCATTGTTAACCCATGCATTATTTAATAGCATGTTATTCAGTCTCCATGTATTTGAACGTTTTTGAGTTTTTTCCTTGAGGTTGGTTTCTAATTTCAAACTGC